CCTAAATGACACATATATCAAGTTAATTTCATGATCGGATGCTGATAGGGCCTTCAATTCATAAGAAAAAATAGAAATGCAAACAGATCTTTCTACGATAATGTAGCTCGACTTTTTTGCGCCCTCTTTTAGAAGTCGAAATAAGCCCTACAGTATCAGACTCCTGCGGTTCTGAATCTGATTCCATAAGTACAATGTGAAATAGATAGACACCAAAGAGTTCAAATTCGGCGAATCTTTTGAAAAATCGATTTTGAATCAAATTGTCAAAAACAGACTGTTTTGCTAGATACAGAGTCACCACCTAAATGTTTTATTTTGGAGAAATTTAGGAAACCCATGACTCGTGCCAAAGGCCATGTATCCGTCATCATCAAGATTGTCTCGGCTCGGGAACTTAGGTACGAGAGGGGAAGGTCATGAATTAAGCACCCCTACTCCCTCGATCAAAGATCGGCCTTTACTAATCATGATATGAATCTTACTTTGCATTATATGTTTTTGTTCTGGTTATTAATCTAGCGTTACTATGTGATGCGCATATACAAGTATAGACTAACTTGGAAAAATTGGAATACTTGAGTCATGTTTGTTTTCTGAAAAGAGTTTGAATTTGCCACTTAAAAAGTGGGCTTAAATGTGCGTCGCTCAAATTATTCCAATTCAAGCAATTAGCCTTCATCCACAGGCATACAAGCAGGTATATCAATTAATCACTTAGCCTCATGGTAAGCATGCTAGATATGACAACAATCACACTCATGCAATATGCTAAAGCAAGTAAAGGCTCACTTCGTACTCTAAGCCAAAAAGACATAAGAGAGTTAGAAAAAATATATGATTCCTAACTATGCAATATGACTAATGCAACACATGAGATATGCAATCTAAAATAGGCTCGGTTACTTAACATGGCATATGAATCAATTGATAGCATGTGGTTTAAGCACGTATTCAAATAAGTATTAAACTAACAATGCAGGTGGAATGATGAACCGAGCCTCGGTGCATGCAATACAAATAGATGCAAACATGAAGAATGCTAATTTAAACGCAATGTCCCTATACAAACCATTATAAGCAGTTAAATAAAAGGGAGAAAGACGTGGTGTTGGAAGATATACATATTATTACAACATTATGCTCTTACGAAGGAAAGTCCGAATGAATAAACTAACTAGCTAACTATTTAAGCTAAGCTAATTAATTAACTATTACAAACCAAATGAAATAAATTAACTCACAATTAATTAACTACTTTAGCTAATTAAATAATTAAAACAACACAAGTATAATTAAAAGAAGTAAGTAAGCTAAACAACTAATTACTCCGCCTCGGGAAGCGAGGAATGTTCATGCGCATGCCCGATTTCCACCCGAAAAGCCATTGTTTTGTTTCTAGAGAGCCTCTGTTATATAATAGAACACATACACTGTTGCCTACTTCCAGAATGACTTTACTCCTCCAAAGGAACACACTGCTGAATTTTGCATTAGTGGCCGGATGGCTACTGGTAAGGAATGCCAGCCATCAAAGGTGGTCTGCCAGCCACTGCTAGCCATGGAAAGTGGCTTGCCGGCCACTACTACCCAGCTCATCTTGTTGCAACAAAGGACAAACAGAGCATGCATAGGGCATTCCTAGGGTTGTCTGCGCAACTCACCCCTCATTTTCATGAACGAATCAAAGGAGAAGTAAACTTAAGCTACAAACCACTAACTCAAGCAATTTCATTGCATGATGGCTTGTGAATCAAAGTGTGCAAGTTTAATAAATGCAACAAAATATGACTCTAACATCTTCCCTTTCATGAATTGATCAAGGGAAGTAGTGACCTTGGAAACTTGAATTATTTCATCATTAATGAGTATAAATTGTCTCAAGTTTCCATGTGTTCAATTAACGTCCAATTGAACACAACCAAATTATTATCTTGCACCAATTTAGCCTCAATTTTATTTATTCAATTTTAAATTACCAACCATTCTTTAATTCATTAAGTCCAATGGTGAGTTTAAATCCTCTAAATGAAAAAAAACGTCAAACAAAGAGTTGTTCTTGGTATGAGAGAGATGTAATGCCCTGGTAATGAACCTCCGAAGAGATTAAACCATTTAGCATGGAAGGTCTCTTTTTCATGCTAAAAACAACATATATGGGACATCAATTCACCACTTTCAATTAGATTGCAACAATATACAATATAATAATAAATCAAAACAAAAGAGCAAAATAAGTAAGAAATGCAAGAAAATGAAAGGTTTGTGAAATTCACCTTCTAAGGAAATGATGAACTCCTTAGTTCACAAACTTTCTCTTGATCACCCTCAAGTATAAGAAGTGTGTTCTCAAATCCTCAATTCAAAATTATGGAGTTTATGGTGTAGAAAGTGGCTAACTCCCTAATTTTTCTCACTTTCAATCACTAAATACTCTTCCTTATGATCAAGGCAATTGATCTTTGGCTATATCAGAATTTTTTGAGTGTTTTTGGTGTATGGAAATGAGGAATTTCAGTAGTTATGTAAGCTTGGAAGTATTTTGGCTCAAGATTGAAATGTTTAATGTTTTCTCTCTTTTCTCTCAAACTCTTTCTAACTCTCTCTTTAATCAATTTTTTTTGCCCTCTGTTGAGCCTCGTCCTCTTTGTCCCTATATAAGCAAAATATAATATAATACTAATATAATAATATATGCCTCATCTATATGCATATAATATAATAATAATATAAAGATAATAATAATATAAATATATATATGCCTGATGTTTGATGTCGGCAACCGAGGGCTGACCGACATCAAATGATTTTTTATTATTATTTTTTTTATAATATATAAAATATATAATTTATACCAAAATACTAAACATATAATATAATAATATAACCATATATAAAATACTAAACATATAATATAATAATATTAAACATATAATATAATAATATAACTTTTTTTATTATTTTTTTTATATATATATAATATATAATTTATACCAATTTATATAAACACACCAAACATATGAACAAATACATAAAATTATGCAAAATTACAAAAATACTGAACTGCTTTTATAAGTTTCATATGGCACAATCCTAGTAGGACTTGTATTTCTCCATGCAGAGTCCTCCTAGGATTCATTCTTCTAAGGATAATGCTTATCCTTTTACACCCTCCCCCACTGCTTAAACCAAGTGGGATGGTTTTCTTTATGGCCGAACTTCCATTTGACCGAAGTAAAATTGGCTATACCGAGCCACAGAGGGCCGAACTATCCTTAGCTCGGTCTTCTCCTCCAACTCTTTACTTCGGCTGCCCTGTTCAACCTTGATGTGCTTAGTTCAAACTTCCAAGTAACAGGTTTTGACCGACCTAACCATTGTAAGTCACGACCGGACTAATTCCGACACTGGCCTTCCCAGAACATACTGCGACCGGACTAATTCAGAGACCGGCTAACTGTGAGTTGCCTCCAGACCGAAGTAATTTTACTCTTCCTTGGTCCGAAGTAACGATCTCTTCCTGAGCCGGAGTAATTTCACCTCCTTGGGCCGAAGTATCTTTGTCTTCCCAAGGCCGGAGTAACTTTGCCCTTCTGGGCCGGAGTATCTATTGCGGCCTTCTTACTTAGTCCTCCGCGTTTTGGGCCTCAATGCCCAACTCTCAGCTCGGCCCAATTTTTCCCAAAAATTACCCTCTCAATTGCCCCTTAATTCCATCTGCACAGCATGATCGGGATTACCAGCCTTCTGGCCGAGCTAGAGTTTGTTACGCTTTTCCAGCCGAGCTAAAGATCCTTTAGCCTTTCCAGCCGAGCTAAGTTTACCTCGGGTATCACTATATCCGGTCAAAAACGTCTCTTCAATCACAGCGACTGTAACGCTTCCAATTCCAATGACACGTGGCAAGCTCTGATAAGCTGTGGTCAGCTGTCACGCCGTCCTTCAGAATTTTCGTACTGTTCCCGCTTCTTTTTGCCGCCTTTTTCTCTCTCCCTTTTACACAAAACAGCCCTTCCGATTCTGGAATCATTTACTCTATTGTTTTCATCTTCTTTCTGTATCTCTGCTTCTTCCACACTCGAGCTTGTGTTGAGCTCGTGTTCTTTTCTCGCTGCCACCGTTTCCAACTCCAGTCTTCTTTGTCTCTTTTCTGGTAAGAAAATCTAACCATCTCGCAATTTTTTGTTTGTTTTACCATTTGTTTCTGTTTTGTATGTTTTTTGCAAACATTTTCTCCATTTATCTGCTCTGCTTTTGTACTTTCTATGAAGAAACCAGTAGAACTTGTATGTGTACGAACTATTTTGTAGGAAGATAGTCTTAGATCCAAAATCACCTAGCAACCGGACTAGAAAACTGTTTGTGTTATGCATGTAGACAGATTCAGAACATAACCGAACTAGAACTTGTAGGAATATCAGTAGTTTCTTCTGACCCACTCTAGCCAATGATAAGTTTGCACTTACCGAACTAGGTACTTCGGTCTCCAACCGAGCTAAGACCTTGGGGCCAAGCCGGCTTTCTTAGTTCTGAAACCGAACTCAGAAAGCCGCCCCTAGGGGCTCAGCCGGAGTAACTCTCCTCACACCGCAACCGATTTAGGCCTTGGGACTAAACCAGCTTTCTTAGTTTTTTAGACCGAACTCAGAAAGCTGCCCCAAAACGACGAACCGGTCTAACAAAAATTGTTTCCAAAGCCAGTATGCCGAGATGCCTCGCTTTTAATTTGTAGCACGGTCCAATGATCTGTGCTTAACTCCTGTGTTTTCTACTTTGCAGACTTAGGTTGCCCAGGCACTCCTGCATGCGCTCAACCAAGCTACTGAGCACAATTTTTTCACCGATATAACTTATTCGTAAATTATACGATAGATGGGGAAGTATAGATACCTAGTAAATACTCCGGGTGGCCTAGCCGAATTCAGGAAAGACTACCAAATACCTGATGACGTCCATCTGGTCTTGGCCGAAAAAGACGTCATTCCCTGGGACAATGAAGGCTTCGTCCCTTTTACCCTTCAATCAATAATTGAAACCGGACTACGGTTTCCTGTCCAACCGCTCATCTGCGAATTTCTTAGACAGACTAGGTTATGTCCCACCCAACTATCCACCAATACATACCGTATTATAATGGGAATAGACGCATTAAACCACCAAACCGGACTAAATCTCGGTCTAGCCGAAATATTCCATCAGTATTCCATCGGCTCAAAGAATGCTGGGTGGGTCTACTACCTCAGAATTCGCCGCCGCCGAGAGAAGATAATTAAGCATACTCCGGACAAAGATCTTAACGATGATGATTTCCTTTGGGTCTCTGGGAATTTTGAGGATTTTCAAGCTCAAATTCCTGGCCGACCTATAAATTGGAAAATGGGAGAACCTGGTAATTTTGCTTCGGTCTTCTGTCTTGTTTGTTATCTCGGTTGTTTAGTTTATTAGCCGAACTAACACTTCTCTTTATTGCAGATTTCGCCCATCTCCGTTCCCTGTACAGTTATCCCACCCTTGGGGTTCTGCGAGCCGCACTACGGGTTAAAGAAAGAAGTTGGTCAAAGCTTCTAAATTTTGAGCCGACCTACCGGTATAGCGGTCGCCGCAAAGCAAAGGTAACTGATTTTCTTCTCGAGGAAGCACCGGAGCCGGACCCAACTCTGCCCGAGATAAGACTTGTCCCTCTAACAGCAGAAGAAGAGATGGCGAAAAGGAGCAGAGTTAGGGCCCTTCTTACCGAAACGGCTAGGCCCGAAGTAACGCCTCCCAGTCAATCGCAGCCTGCCGTTGTCGCCCTCCCTTCCCAACAGCCATCCTCTTCCCGCCGGACCAAACGTCCCCGGACTGCCGAACCCGAACGAGTTTTGGTTGATGAAGAACCTGTCATTCAGCCGAGCTTACCACCAAGCCCTCGACCGGAGTCTTCCGACCGGACCATCAGTTGCTGGGCACCGAAGCTATCTTTCAACGACCGAGACATTCTGGAAACAGACTCGGTTGTTGCTGAGAAGGACCACCTGTTGGCCATCAATTTGGCCAAGAGTGTGTGTCTGCCTAAAGACATGGAACATCACCACAAACAGTTAACCACCGAGCTGAAGTCCATCCGGTCAGCCACGAAATCAATGATTCTGGTAAGTAACTTCGGTCGTATTTCTGTTTTTCTACTTTTCTTTTTCTTCGGCTAAATTGAAGTTGTTGCTTTGTCAGGCTATCCAGAAAAATCAAATCACCCATAGGAAGGTGCTGGAGCTGAGGAAAGTGACAAGGCAAGCTGCGGCAGAGGCAGAGGCGAAATCGGCCGAACTAGAGGAGGCCAGAAAGGAAATGGCCGAACTCCGAGGTGAGGTCGGTCGTCTGACCGGAATGGTTAGTTCGGCCGAGGCCGAAAAGCAAAAGACTGCCATTGTGCTGAAGGACAAGTACTTGCGCGAGTTGCTAAAACTTGAAAGAAAGAAGGATGCCGAAATAAAAGAGAAGGTGAAGGAAGCCGACAAACAAGGCTTCAAGAGGGCAGAGGATGCTTATGCCCAACAATGCAATGCGGCCAAGGATCTGTTCTTTAAGTGCGGCTGGAGGGGAGCCGTTGAGAAGCTCGGTCATGATCCTCAGACCGAGGTTTTCAACCCTCCAGCCTACTTTATACCGAACTCCCTGATGGATTATGCCACGGCCATGCAACAGCAGTTCCTTGAGGGCTCAGACGATGAAGTTTCTGATGAAGACTCTGCCCCTGAGGATACTTCGGTTGTGAATGCAGATCAGGTAGTTCGGTCGGAGCCCGTGGTGGAAGATCTAACTCTTGATCAACCAAGTGAAGCCGTGGCTCCAGCCGAACCCGTTCTTCCTTCTGAAAATGTTGTAGTGCCCGAAACCGGTCTTCAAGTTGACGCCGATGCTGCCTTCGACGCCGAAATAGATGAACTCTTCTCTTAATTTTGTAATCTTTTCTTTGTAACCGAACTAAGCAGCCTTGTAATGACTTCTTTTGGAATGAAAATTTTACTTCTCTTATTCCGGTTATTGTGTATATGCTTGCATTTGTAATGTCTTCTATTACTCCAAGTGTTATTTCGGTTTTGGTTGGTTGTTAAACTATACTTACCAGCCAACCACTCCTTAGCCGACATAATTGCTTCGGCTGGGGAGTACTAAGGTTTGGTTTAATCCAGCCAACCACTCTTCAGCCTTACACTTACTTCGGCTGAAGAGTAACAAGAGTTGGTTTATTCCAGCCAACCACTCCTTAGCATGCACTTACTTCGGCTAAGAGTACAAAGTGTTGGTTTAATCCCGCCAACCACTCTTCAGCCTTACACTTACTTCGGCTGAAGAGTAACAAGAGTTGGTTTATCCAGCCAACCACTCCTTAGTCCATCACTTACTTCGGCTAAGGAGACAAAGTGTTGGTTTATCCAGCAACCACTCTTCAGCCTTACACTTACTTCGGCTGAAGAGTAACAAGAGTGGTTTATTCCAGCCAACCACTCCTTATCTGCACTTACTTCGGCTAAGGAGTACAAATGTTGGTTTTATCCCGCAACCACTCTTCAGCCTTACACTTACTTCGGCTGAAGAGTAACAAGAGTTGGTTTATTCCAGCCAACCACTCCTTAGTCATGCCCTTACTTCGGCTAAAGAGTAACAGGTGTTGGTTTATTCAGCCAACCATTGAAGTTGTTTTTCCAGCTAACTTCTAGTATTTGGTTATTCCGACCAAATGTCCTGCAGCCTGGATCCTTATCCTGGGCTTAGGATGGGTGTGTTTAATCCAGCCAACCTTTAAGTTAGTTTTTCCAGCTAACTTAGATAACATGTTGTAATATACGTAAGTCTTGAAAGCTAACTTTTACAAAGGTAATTTGCGCCAAAAAAGATTTCTTATTTTATTGAAGGAAGAGAAAATTACATATGTTAGAAAAGAAAAAGCTAAAAGTAAAATAACTTGAGATTGGCCGTGTTCCATGGCCTAGGGATGCCTTGCCGTCCTTGTCTTCTAGGTGGTATGCCCTTTGCCTGCTAACCACCACCTTATAAGGACCTTCAATTTGGGCCTAACTTGCCGTCTCCTGGATTAGGGTGTTTCCCATTCTTTGCCGTAGTACC